CAGTAGCAGTAGCAGTAGCAGTAACAGTAGCAGTAACAGTAACAGTAACAGTAACAGTAGCAGTAGCAGTAACAGTAGCAGTAACAGTAGCAGTAATACTAATGATAGTATTATTAGCAGCAGATTCTTCCCCGGCCTTATCTCCATGTCCCAGTTCTATCTCCAGACCTGGGGCAGTATCCTCTGGTCCAAATGTTGTTGTTTCTGATGTTTGTGTCAGACAACAACAACAACAACAACAACAACAACCCCAACAAGTGTCCAACCCAGTCCTTTCCTTCTTTGAAGAACAAAAACTGGAGTATATGCTCAATACTCAGTTTGAAGAAGATTCCCCAGCCTCAGCTCCATGCACCAGTTCCAGTTTTCTTTACAGACCAGAAGATTCCAGCAACAACACCCACCTAAGCCTCAATCTAGTGAAGTAGATCTTTTAGATGTATCCCAAGTCTCTTTACCTGTGCCCCCCTCCTGTCTAAATATCATCCTGCTTTACTACTGTTGATAAGCTTGTCCATGATTCCTTCTCAAGAAGAGGCACCACAGACAGTTTCTCCTGCAGTAAAACTGTGACCATTTACACTTTTACCTCCATAAAATACCCACACAAAACCATTAACTACAAAGGGGACTAACAACACCAAACCCAGGTTGGTTTATTGTGTTGTATCTCCTTTTTGGCTTTGTTTTTTCTTTTAGCTTATTTTTTAAAATGGCTAGTACTTTGCCACCTGTGTCCTTGCCAACTGCAAGGGAGTTTGTCTTGATTGACTTGGTAGTGTGCTTGGTAACTGTTTCCTTGTTTGTTGTGAAATGACTTGCCTTCTGGCTTGGCAGCGCTGTTAGAAATGATCATGGCATGGCTCTCATCCATCCTAAATATGAAGCAACACATTCTCTCTAACCTCAGGTACCTCCTTGTATTGGTGACACCGGATCAAATCACATATGTGCTTTAATTTTTAGTGTTGTTCTTTTCCTTTTGCTCAGTTCTTGTTCACAAAATTAATGTTTGTGGTTCCCTATGTAGTATTTTGTTGTTGATTGTTTTGTACACTTTACCAACAAGTTTACCAAATTGCAAGAGTCTACTTCTACATCCTGAAGCCATCGCCATCTAGGTCACTATAAGATTCTCTTCACCAGAGATATCCATGAACAAGATGAGACTGTCATGGCAGCCCTTTAGAAAACTCAAGCTTCCGTCATTCACTGCTACATTTCCATCCTCAACTACGCACTCATGCATAGATATTCCTTCAAGCACTGGCAAACCATCATGAATCTTATGATCTACAAAGACCCAGGGAATACTTAAATCCATAGACTTTGGGTGATCCAGTTGTATGAAGCTGGTTTGATTTTCTCCTTGGATCCAAATGGAGAGATGCCATCTTGAATGCCAGAGCTGAATGCACTCTGCATCCATGTCAGTTTGGCAGAGCCCCAAGCAAGGAGTCTCAGACTGTTATCCTTGTGGAAGAACTCTGGTTTGACTACTCTCAATTGACAGGGACATCCTTTGCCGATTTTGACAATGATGCCTCCTCATGTTATGACCACATCTTCACCTCTCTATCAAGTCTTTCAGGGCAAGGTTATGGTATTTGCAGAGACATGGTCAGAGTCCATGCTCATGCACTGCAGTAAGCAAACTACAAACTGAAGCTTTTACAATCGGGTCACCAGTGCATCTCACAAACACTGCTCAAAGTTTCTAATAGTACATGGTACTGGCCAGGGCTCTGCCAACAGTCCTGTCATTTAAGGACTCCTGTCTTTTAAGGACTCCTGTCTAGCAGATTGTTTGAGGCTCACAACACTGAATCTTATGGAATGACACTCTCCAGTCCAGATGGCACACTATCATTCTCTATGTCTTCTGTTGGTTTTGTTGATGATGCCACTGTCATCACTGCTTCACCTCCAGATGCTTCTCTTGAGGAACTCTTGGAAAGACTTTGTTCAGATGCAAAATTATGGCATGATCTTCTGTGGTGCTCTGGAGGAAAATTGAAACTTCCAAAATATGGTTTTCACCTCCTGTACTATGATTTCAAGTACCTCCCCTTGATATGCTTCCTCAAGTGCTTCATACTACTACTGGTGATATCTTCCTAACTGATCCTCTTGGAGAACCAGTTTGAATTGCTTCAAAGAATATTTTCACCCCACCCAAAAACCTTGGCCATCACAAGTCACCATGCAGGTCGTATACAGCTCAGTTGGATGCACTACTTTCTAAAACAGATTCAATTTGCTCTGCCATCTAGCGCAGTGTTGTGCCCTGCCATTGAGTATCCTTTGCCTTGGTCTTTCTTGTTGTCTTCTGCTCAATTGCTCAAGTTGGAAAGGAAATATCTTCCATGCATTTTCTCCCTTTGTGGTTATGCCAGCACTACCACCAGAGCAATTCTCCAAGCGCCAGCATCAGTTGGAGGAGCAGGGTTCATACCTCTTGAAGTCATCACTGGCAGAAGCTATGTCACCCATTTTTTGAAACACTGGAGGTCCCATGACATTGCAGGGCAGCTTCTCTGGACTTTCCTCTGGTGGTTTCAACTATTTTCAAGCCTCTCCAAACCTGTTCTTGAATTTCCCTCCATTGCAGTTCCATATGTCCCCAGCAATTTCCTGCATTGCATTTGGAAGTACTACGCATAAAATAACAATTAAAATTAAGTTAATTGAGGCATTGGGAACGTTAATTTAACATTCCAAATATTAGCAGTGTAGGCTGTGTAGTGTTTTTTGCTTCAATTTAATGTCCTGAATGCTTTACTTCACAGTCTGAATATTAGCAGGAAATGATATCCTTCTTCCTCCTTTTTATGGTATGCGCAAGATCCAAATAATTTGTTTGGGTAGGTGGTGCGTCAACACATTGGAGAATGCAGATTATTGGAATGCTAGGATCTACGTAGGCCTATGCCATAAATGAAACATTCTTTACATTAAATTAACATTTGGAATATTAATCAAACATTTGGAACATTAAATTAACATTCCCAATGCCTCAGTTAACGTATTTTCAATTGTTATTCTACACATAGTAGTATCTGACTACTATAAAGGGCACCATCACAGTTGACAACACAGGGTTGGTGCCACCACTCAGGTGTGGCAATAACACCGTTATGGACCTCACCCTTGCCAGACTCCCCTAGAATGCACCCAAGATTTCAA